TTCCAGATTTACTCTGGCATATAGTAGATACTCAAAATATTGTTTAATAAGCTTGACCTTAGTCTTTTAAATCTCAGTTGATCAGATGACTACCAGTTTAATATAGAAGACATGTATTTGGTGCAATCCATTGTATATAACTGCAAATATATGATCTACTGAAGTACAGGAGCAGAGAGGGGGGAAAAAGGAGAGGATAGCACTTGAATGAAGTATTTGCACTGATTATTGTTATCTACACGTTCCATATTACCTATAATGCATGGGTAATACATAATCATAACTAATATATTTTTGACCAAAGATTTACCACACTCTGCATAGAGATATTTATCTGCTGAATGGTCTGAAAGCCTTTGCTGATTTCATATTTATCAGTAATAATGTTAACCTCCTTTTATAGTTAGGAATTCCTAAACCGATGCATGAAGTTAAGTGCCTCCATCTATATCTCAGTTTTAACCATCTGTGTGTTCTGTCTTTACCTCTGAAAGTCATCTATATACTTAACCACTGACTGATTTTTTTATGTCAGTGTCTTTTAGTATCCTGTAGGAATTTCTCAGTTTCAGTTTTGGCTCTGTTATCTATTCCTAGTTTAGACTTGAGCAGAATGGTAAAACTAGAAAGTGTTCAAACAGGGATCCTCTAGAATAGAAGACAGTAAGTTAGCAATATGACAAGTCTGGCCTCTCAGATCAAGTTATCAAAAAAGTAAATAAACCTTGTTTCAAATGGACAAGGAGAAATTGGGGAATTCTGCATTGACCACACCCAACAACAAGTCATCTATATGAATCCTCATTTACATCCCCAGAATACTTTATTAGTTGCGTGAAGCTATGTGCTTACTTATGTATTCGTGTGATTATTACTGATAATTATTACCAATGGTCATGAGGGCTGTGTAGGAGTCTTGGTGAGTATAAATTCAGCTATACAGTTTATATGGAAGGTACAGTGCACATAATTCATCATTATAGATTCAAGCAGTTTTCATGGTTTCTGTTCAGCGGTGGAATATCTTTCTTAAATACTTTCAGAACTGTTTATGCAGTCTGCAAGATGATCTAAGTGCAAAAGGAGCGAGCAGAGGAGTTTTGCCTGCTGCTTGAATAGAAAGTGCAGGATTAATTTCTTCACTTGGAGATCTTCATGATATCCTGGCCCCACTGAAATCAACTGCAATCAGGATACGCATGTGCCAGAGTTACTCATACCCGTAAGAGTCTGAGTACCTGACCCCTTACTTTGGATTTATAATTTCTTTTTGCCATAGCTTATAAGTCATAAACACATATGCCTTCAGCCTGTGTTCATCTGTCTGGTTTGTATATCTACCGTTAAAAGCATCAATAAAAAAAGTTTAACGGTAAAGCAAAAGCTGTCCTGGGTTTGGAACAGAAATCTCTGTAATTAGTGAACTGCTTCTAGATACTTGAGGTCAGCTGCTTGTGACTTTCTATTAGCCCAAAACAGATTTATGTTTAAACTAGTGGTTGAGGCTGGTTTGCTTGACTTTGTACCACTGGAATAAGTGTTTGATCTGGCCTGGTGTTTACGAAAACGAAATGCAATTTGAATATCTCTCCCTGCTGTGCTCTGCTCCAGCTTTGAGCCACAATGGTTTCACATTTGTTCCAACATATTAACCTTCTTTTAACTACTGCTGGGACTTCACCCTGGTGACGTCCTTCTTAGATTTACAATCTCACTTTATTCCAGTTCTCTTAGTTATTTTCTCTTCTGCCTCATGATTGCACAAATTGCCTGAATGATGGGTTTTGGGACTTTTTATGCACAGAGCAGATGTAATATGTCAGTGGTAGTTCCAGGTGCCACATACTGTTCTGCCAATGTGGCTTAACCCTGACGTCAAAATGCCTATCTTTTGGGATGATAAAACACTACAAACAGTTGTCTGTGCATGTTCAGTCTCTGATGATACTTCTAATAAACTGGATAATTTTATTCCCTCTATTCATTGTTGATGAAAACTGTTTTTTGTGGAAGATGTTTGACTTGGGTTAAATTGAATAGAATGAATTTTTGGCAAAACAAAAATCTTGAAGTTTTTTTTACCTGCATTCTGACATATGAAATGGCTGGGAGGTGGGAAGGGGAGGACTCTAGACCCTGCTGCTAAAATAATTCATAGCTTATAGCTATTAGTTTTACTTTATACAATAGCCTGCTACTGTTATGGTATGAACCAGTATTTGCAGTGTGACAAGCTTACTGTGGAGAGAGGTGTGAAGGCCATTTTGTATTTTAATGTATGAACAGTGCGAAATAATACCCCAAACTGCCCAAAGATGCAGGTGGAATGAGACTTTTAGTTGCGAGTAAGTCTGTAGTTACCAAATTTTATTTTTTTTCTAAAGCCTTATTTTTACTTGTATCATTAGCCACTGGGGAAATAATTCCCTTTTAAATCAGCAGCATTTCTGTTGCCATTTTCCATTCTTGCCCAATCTCATCATTGCTGTTTTGTTTCTTCTTTGTTCAGAGTGTAGTAGATCTGGTGTTCAGTAGTTGAAATTTTCACTGACACTAATGGGAATATTGGACATGCATAAGATTCAGGACTAATTTCTTTCCTTGGGACTATTTTTCTTGGAAAGAATAAAAGTTCAAGGAGAGTCTGTACATCTCCCTTTCAAACTTTGTCCTCACATGAGAACATAGAGAAACTCAACGAAATTGTGAAGTAGTTGTGCTGGAACAAGTAAGGGGAAATATTGTTTCACAACGGATATAACTAACTACTGAAGCACTCACTTCAGGAAGTCATCAAACTGCATTTTTTTCATAAGACAGCTGTGCAATGTCATGACTACTAAAAGCCAACTACATAAATGTGGTGCTGTTCCTAAAGGAGTGAATTTTCACCATTTAAAGTTCTCTATAGAGTCCTGGCTAAGATTTATGGTTGTTTTTAAAACTTGGTTTTCATTCTTTGGGGTGGAAATAACCAGCCACTTGCATTAGAATCAATATGAGTCTTTTGATTGTCCTTTCTCTGAAAGATGGAAATATTAATTCCTTTAAATCCCATTTCTGCAGTTCAGTGAGAACACCATATGATTTAATTGTCTTGACCCGTTTCAGAGGAAATGGCGGTTACAAAATTTTCCATTTACTCAAGTCATGTGATACTAGATCGCAGAAATTTTTCTGAATTTCCTGAAGGAAAACTCCTAGAGTGTAAATGAGTTTCTCTCTTACCTTCACCTGCGGGGAGAGGGATTATCATTCTGTGTTCCAAGACTAAGCAAAATAAAAAATGACCTCAGTGTAGACGTGTATGATTCCTGTTTAGTTTTGTTAAAAGCTGATACATCCTGTTTTAATTGACAGGTATTTTGGGTCATCAAAGTACTTATTTTTGTCAGTGTTTGCCTAAATTTCTTAAATATCCTCTATGATATTTTCAGATGGGAAGAAACGTTTCATTGGCATCAGAATGCTCACAATAACACCTGCGTAAGTATTTGAGTATTGTATGATCGTGCATACAAAATGTGGTAAACAGTGGTTCAGAACTTCATCATTCAGCTTTCATTTACAAATCTCCAGAGAATCCAGAAGTGTGTGTTAGCTTCTATGAAGTCTGCAAACATTTTAATGATATTGGTGAAATATGTTCTGAGACCTGGAAAATCACTGTCAAGTCATTCACAAAATACTGATAACGGTGGATGCCTTGTTGATAGCTAAGGGAAATTAGGAAGAGCCTGAATACTGGTTTTGGTTCTTGACAAGGATGTCTGGAGTTACACTAGGCTTTAGGTGACACTTAAACAAACTGCTGCATTCAGGTGGCTGTGACTGCCAATGACAGATTAGCTGCCTGAGGGTTTGGCAGTAGTTTTATCAGCGCCAGTAGAGGCCATACAATGTGAGATTTGGTGCCTAACCATTAACTGGAAAGAAAGTTGTTGCTAGAGTGGAGAACTAAAGCTTCATGCCTCCATGTTAACAAAGCCAGAACATGGACACCCTTCTCCAGTTCTTTACTGTCTTTTCTCTGTCACGTTGCTTTGTGTCTTGCTGTTACCCAGATATATTCTGGGATAACAAATGAGGGCTCTTATGCTTCTGTTCTTTCCCAGCAGTAGGCACGTTTCCAATGTGGCAGTAGACTACAAAATTAAGCAAGACAATTTCCAGCTGGGCTTGTAGTAAAGCCATCTTTGTTTATTGAGTTACGCTCTTGCAATCCTCCCCAAAGGGTCAGATCCTCAGCTGGAACGAATCAGTGTAATGGCATTAACATCACTGGGCCACCACTGATGGAGAGAATCTCAGAATGTTTCTCTATGTAATCGTGGAGTGAACACGATGTGAGATTTTACTGCCTTTGTGGCATGTAATGAAGCGCTGTAAGATGGCTGCAGGCTTATTTTCAGGAAAAGACTACTTCCCTTGGTGTGTTTGCTGTAGTAATTTATTTGTTAGCTTCCTTAGTACAAAATCAAATGAAGTGAAGTTGTGTGCACCCATTTCAGCGTGCTTTCCATCAGAGGGACCCCAGGTTTTCATGGAGGACAGGACAGCAGAGTAATCTGTCATTAGTTTAAAACCCTTTCTTTCTAGAAATGGGTTTTAACCCACACTGTACACAGACCTGAAATTATGTCATCTCCTCAGAAATGAGAGGATGTTTTTAGAGTCTCTATTTTGCAGCTGGTTCCTGTCTTCTTTCTTTAGAAAGGGCTGCACAAATAATTCCTCAAGAAAACTTGAGGAAGCTGAAGTTTCCTTGGAAAACTCATAGTTCTGATCTGTCTGATGACTGACGTTATCAAAACCTATATTGTTCTAGATAAAGACAAATTAAGAATGACTTGAAAAATGCAAGAAGCAAAATTGTTAGCAAATTTCTGCCCCATCACCAGCATTAATTCTTTGGGGCAGGACTGTCTTTTGTCCCTGAAGCACACCTAGCACAGAGAGTGCTCCTGTCCCTGTGCTCTCTGTACTCCTCTCCCTGTACTCTTCTACCATGCCCTCTGTGCTACTGCTACAAGTAGCAAAAGCCAGGTCCTTGTAGGAGGTGAACAAGACCATTTAATATATCATGCTTTGCACAGGTAAATAGTTTTGATTCTCACAAAATCTATGTTACTTGTTTTAATCCAAATTCAAATCCCCTATGTTCTCATCACAAGAACAAGGGGCAAACAATTAACTGTTAAGTCATTCATTTTTTCTCACAAAAACATTGAGAATAAATAAATAAGAATTTTTGAATGCTACTGCTTTTGTAGTGGAAACAAATGCTTTATAACTTTTTTTCTTTTAGCTTGGTGGAAGAATTGAAACACAATAATGCTGATTTTCCTGATGTCAGAAGTGGAATTTATGTACATGAAGTTGTTCCAAACTCACCTTCTCACAGGTATGTAGGCTGCATTAGTTTATTCACTGTAAATAAATCTCCAAATAGAAATATTACCTACTACTATCTATTTATATTCAAGTACTTTCTCATACTATTAAAAATTGTGCGTTTAGGTTTAAAAATATGTTAAAATATTTGTGCTGAGATTCTACTCACATTTATAAAAGTGAAATATTTCAATATCAGTTCTTTTTAAATCATAGAATCATTTAGGTTGGAAAAGGCTTTTAAGATCATCAGGTCCAACTGTTATCTAGCATTGCAAAGTCCACCACTGAACCATGACTCTGAGCACCATATCTACATGTCTTTTAAATACCTCCCGGGATCACGACTCCACCACTTCCCTGGGCAGCCTGTTCCAATACTTAATAACCCTTTTGGTAACAATTTTTTCCTAATACCCAACCTAAACCACCCCTGGTGCAACTTGAGGCTGTTTCCTCTTGTCCTATCACTTGTTACTTGGGAAAAGAGACCAAGACCTACCTTGCTACAACCTCCTTTCATGACACTATGAAACACTAACATTGTGCAAATATAAAGAACACCTCAAATACCATGAATTAAATCTTGTTTTTGAAAGTATGTTGATATTAATAAGTAGAAACTTGGATTAAGTTTAAACAGGAGACAGGATAGCATTCACCTAAGACATTGTCAGAGCTATTATCTGAGACAATATTTATCTTAGAGGAAGAGACTCTTTCACAGAACAGTTGGAAAATAAATAAGACACTTCTAAAAATTATTATAGGAATTATTAAGATGATGCAAAGGCAATAAAAGCAGCTATTCTGGATTAAGTTTGAACAGCAAGAGAAATAATTTACCTGTAGTTCAGTTGGTACACTATGATTGTCTTGAAATTTTGAGAGTGGTTGAATTTCCAGTGCTTGATGCACACTGGAGAGATAAAAGCATGTTCTTGCAAATGGATGGAGCGAGTCAGTTACAGCTAACAGTCTTTTTTATTTCTCCTTTGCTGCAGTTTTATGGAAGACAAAGAGAAAGCTAAGACTACTTGTATTTGCTGTTTTAGAAGAAAATCCTCAATGAACTATTGCGAGCCTGATTTTGCATTTAGAGAGTACTACCAGTTATTCTTTTGCAGTCAGAAGGGTGGAATTTCCCTTTAGTGGAAACTAAAACAAGTAAAAATCTATCACATCAGCCAAAGAGGTGGTGAATACTATGCGCTTTTTCTCTGCACAGAATACATACTTACTGCCTTTTTCTTCTTATCTTGGCAGAGGAGGGATCCAAGATGGAGACATTATTGTTAAAGTCAATGGGCGTCCTTTGATGACTTCCAGTGACCTGCAAGAGGCTGTGATGAATGAATCACCTTTACTACTTGAAGTTCGAAGAGGAAATGATGACTTGCTATTTAATATTGAGCCTGAAGTTGTCATGTAAATAGAATTGAGGAAGCTCTCACCATAATTAAACTCACTTATTCTGGAACACTAGATACCTCCTTTACAGCTACAGTAATTATACTTCCTGTTGACTAATGACAAGGTGGACTAACTTAATTGCCTGAGCCATTTCTGTACATAGTAGCTAGAATGAATCAAATTATGCCATTTATAGAAAATTAACTTTCAAATAAATTTAAGAACTGCGTTCTGGGGAGGGAAAGGAGGAAAACAAATTTTGAGTAGCTGGTAGAAATGGGCTCTACTTCCAGTTCCTGCAGGTTCAGAGCAGATTCATTTCTGCATTTTGAAAGACCAAAGTACTACTGGAAGTGAGGAAGCATGCTGAAAGCGGAAATGATTCTTTAACTACGGTCATGGCCACAGCAGAGCCAAGCTATTGCAATGCACAATGGAGCTTTTTTTTTTTTCATGTGACTTTTCAAATGTGAACCTAGTATTGGCAAAGCTTATATTTGTTCTTAGTGCTTGTATGCTACGTGTCAAAGGTAGATTAAATCTGTAAATATCGAAAGGAACAAAAATGGTATCAGGCTATAGAGTGTTACACCTAGGTCATGCGATTTTGGAATATAGTAAATGATTCTTATAGAATTAATGCCTTGTTATATATAAATCAAAACGATGTGCTGAACAAAGTTAAGTTTGAGAAAGTGCACAGTTTTTTAAGAATTTGATACAAATTAGTTTTGCATTTTACTGGTAAGCTTTGCTGTAAAATTGTTACACTACTTTTGGCTTGTACTGTGTATGTTTCTACTGTAAGGAGATTAAAGTTTACACAAAGAATGTGTTGGTGTAAATCTCTTTTTAAACAAGTATGTCTTCCATTCCTGTTCTGTCAGACTGGAATAGACTCTCCCAGGAGTAAATTTCCTTGTAGAAAATTCGGCCCTGATGTTATGAAAACCCTTTGCAGCCCTGTGGTATAATTATTCTGCCTTTATTTAGGTTATGTTTAGAAATGCTTTGTACACAAGTCATTTATTTACACTGTTTTTTTTTCATATTTATGAATTGTGCTTTGATGTAATTTAGAGAATATCTAGTTGGGATCCTGTTGTCCTCAATTTTGCCTCTATGGGACAAGAAGCACTATTAACCCTGTTTCACAGCTAGAGTGTGTGAGACTTTTATGTAATAAACCCAGGACAGAAATTGCTAAGAGCTAAATCCAGATCTCCTAGGTATCATAAACCACACATGTACTTTCCTAGAAAATATTGCTACTGTTCCCAAAGAGACAGAGGAGTGTCTGTATCTAGAGCATTCTCTACAGCAAGTTATGCTTTCTAGACTTGGTTCTTGTGTCTTTGATGCAAAAACAAGTTAATCTTTGGGGCAGCTAGAACCTTCCCTTTAGGTTGCCATCATGTCTAGGCTTTCTCACTATACCGTCTGACCTGTCTGTGACAAGCCTGACACCTTTGGGTTTATACAACGCCAGGCATGAGGAATGTTCATTACTTGCTGGCTATCTGTGACTGCAACTATGGAGTTGAAAGATTGATGAGGTATATAGCTCCTAAAAAGGAATACAGGTTTTTTCCATCACATTATCATCCATGTCTTTAATAATGGTGTGACACCCATGCTGTCACTAAAAGTTGAGCTCTTTTCACCCCTCCAATGAAAGACACTTAGCTTGTTGCTAAATTTTCAGATTTTTGACCAACAAAGCGTTTGGTAAGATCCACAGAGAGCTTAGCATCTCTTACTGTAAGAGAAGCTTTCTGTCTTCCAGATAACACAGCAATGATTTTGAAATAAATTGCCAAACAACTCTTATTACAACAATTCTTAAGAGTCTTGAAAGTGACATAGCAGTATTAAACTTGAAACAATACAAGGTCCTTGGCACTGGCCAATTGCCTCAGCCTTTTAATCGTGACACTCTATGGAGGGGAGAAAGGCTGTTCCCTTACTCATCAAAAACTGTTGTGTTCTGCCAACAGTTCCTTTTTTCTGAGCCTTCTCCAAAAATCTTGTGGAGCTCGCACATCTAACAGTCTGCAGGTGCAGTTGGATTGTGGCAGATTTTACTCTGAGGGAATAAAGGTCAGATGAGGTTCTTTTAGAAAGAAAGCATTGTCATTTCCTTTGGCTGCAGAAGCGTCTGTGTCATTTCAGCTGTGGTGTGACCCTTAACTGCTGAGATATAAGAGTAGTCTTTATTAATTGCCACTCATCCCCCTGACATCGGCCAGAGGTGCAAAGGTTAATTGCTCTGCAATAGAGTCAGCATCTACTGATGCCAGCAGTTAAATGTTAAGTCTATAACACAACCTTGCTAACTTTGTTATTGGCTAAAAGAAAAGAGCAGTCAGTGTCTAAAACAAAACATTCAGGCAACTTTTCTTCTATAAGCAGTTACTGGCTGTGTCTCTCAGGCAAACAAAAATAACAAAAGTGTGATCTTGATCTCTCAAAGAAACTGGCAGCCACAGCTTTTCCGAGTCAAGGCTGGGGCAACAAGATGAAAGTTTTTGATATTCATTAGCCTGAACACTCTTATTACCACAAAGATTTCTAAAGCCTCTTCATTATTTCTGCAAGGCCTAGTCAGCAAATAAGGAAAGAGAGAGCTCAGCAATGACAATATGAAAGACACGAGCATTCCAAAGAGCTTCTGCGCTGCAGCCCAGCAAGGTCTGCAGTGGGAGCTGTGCAGCTTTGCTGGCAATCTAACCCCTGCAGGGGAGCTCCCTCTCACCTGGCCTGTGCCTGCTGTGCAGCTGAGCACGTTAAAGACAACTTTTCACACCTGGTGTACAGTAGAAGATGGCAGGAATGAAATAACATCATGCATAATATAATACCCCTTGTAAACAGAGATGGGGGCTGTTAGGAAGACAAGGTATGGGTGAAGCGGAAAACAAGAAAGGGAAACAGCACAGAATAACAAGAAAAAAGATTATATTCTTAGGAGATAAATTTTAAATAAAATGTTTGTTAGTTTCTCTTCTATAATGAGATGGGCCTCACAGTGGGCCAGAGTCCTGTGCAGCTGCTAGGTCCCTGAAGACCCCTTTCTGCAAGGATGGCATCTTGTATTTATCTCTGTAGCCTCAGAGCAGTTGGAGATGGGAGGGAGGGGTAACAGTCCGAAACACCAGCAACTCTCTCCAAGACGAACAGGGAATGGCGAAAGCCTTTAGACCGCAGTCAGTGTGAGATGCACCTTGGCACCTTCCCTGAGCACACGTAGCAGCTCTTGTGGCTGATTATTCGTGATTATTTGCTCCTCTGCTACACACAAGTCCTCCATCACAATTGTACCTCTGATATCAGTTAAAAAAATACACCACTGCAAAGAGAGTCACTTTCTATTTGCAGGCAAGAAAAACAAAGATAATTCCTTCCCTTACCAGGGATCCTATGGCTCTGTCAGGGAACTGGACATGACATGAGAGGTACATGACCCTTGGGGCTTCCCTGTGTGTAAGAGGTTGGTAAAGCAAGTTGGAGATTTGCAGGCTGTGGCTGCTGTGCTGCACAGAGCACTCTCATGGTCCAGCAGTTGTACTGCTGCAGCTCCAGGAATTTTGGCCTCTGGGGATCTGAAAGGGTTTGAAAAGGCTGCAGAAATATCATACATAAAATCAGGGCACAGCAGGACTTCTGCAAAACTTGTTCTCTGCTTGCTGTTTTGTATGTTCTGCACGAGCTGCTCTGCACAGCCACATACCAACCAGCAGTCCCTCCTTTCTGTAGATCTCTTGTGACTGCTTGCACACCAGCCAGTCTGTGCAAAGCTCTTCCACATGGCTTCTTCCACGGGGGCTGTTTTGCACTTCTGCATTTTGCCCTCTGGAGCAGCTGCTCTGTTGGCTCTTCTCCACTGGTTTTGCACTGGCTATTCTGTACCCTCATATATCCCAGACAGCAGTCTCACACTCTTAATTTTGTTTTGACTTCTTGTTTCTTGCTTGAGGCTTTGTTGGTTTAGTAGAAATCTGGAAGAGGAATTTTTTTTTTCTTCCCAGGCTCTGAAGTCTGGAGTGCTGTGCTGAGCATTTCAAGTCCGTAGCATAATACTAGGACAGTGGGTTGATGAAAAGTTTATTTAACCGCAAGACACTGCAGGATATAGAACGTGATGGTCCCTCTGTTTAGACACCACCAGCCAAGAACTGGTCTTCAAAGACAGGCAAAATTGAAAGCTTACCCCAGAGGGGGTGTCTATGGACAGTATGAGTATGCTTTCGGTACCCACATATAGGACTAAAGTCTGAGGATTGCTTTGAAGTAGGAGGAAGACTTAAAAATGGAAGGGAAAGGGGGTGTAGAATGTTTATTTTATTTTATTCCCCTTATTTACTTGGGTTTCTGTAATCTTCATTTAACTGGACCAGCCTGAGGAAAGCATCCAGGTCTGGTTTTATTCTGATCCCGCTTCCCACAGTAGCAAAGTTTTTTTGCAACTCTGGCGCTCTGCAAATAGTAGATTTGGTCTTTTATCCAGACCTTCCCAGCGCTTGTGTCCACAGACACAGCTTGGTGGGGCTTTGCTGTAGAACTTTCTGGGCCATGCCATGGCCTGTAAACTCAGGAAGAAGCAAGGACCACCAGCAGTTAAGGCAAAGTTGTTTAGAAGACCTTGCTGGCTAGTCCAATTCTCTATCTTCTGGCAAACATAGAATCATAGAATCATTGAGGTTGGAAAAGACCTCAAGGATCATCAAGTCCAACCGTCAACCCCCACCACCTAACTTACTAAACCATGTCCCTGAGGACCACATCGACTCGTTTCTTGAAAACCTCCAGGGATGGTGACTTAGCTGGGCAGCCTGTTCCAATGCCTGATCACTCTTCCAGTGAAGAAATTTTTTCTAATATCTAGCCTACATCTCACCTGGCGGAACTTCAGGCCGTTTTCTCTTGTCCTGTCACTTGCTACTTTAGAGAAGAGGCCATGCAAGGTGTTATATTGCATTTTTCTACTGAAAAAAACTCAATGTGTATTCCCTAGCAGTGAACTAATGCTTGGGCAGCACAAAGCATGGATACAGGAGTGGAGGTTCAGGCTGCGACAGTCACAAACAAAAAAAAAAAAAAGGAAAAAGATATTTATTTTTTCTCTTTTGATTTTATCTTCTGGGGAGAAAGGTCAGACAGAGCAGGTCTTCCCTCATCCTCCCTTCCTCTTCCCCTCCCTTTCTGTCAAAAGGCTTCCTGGGAGACTGTGAGAATATGTCAATATTAAACAGCATTTTCCCTATAAAGACCTCTGGAGAATAACAGAAGCAACTGCTTGCTCTTTCTTTCTTCGACAAACACTGGCCAGGCCTTCACAAACAGCCAACTGAGGCATAGTCAGGAAAAAACAAGTTCTTAAAGGAAGCAGTCGCCAAGGAAAATAATTGGGCAGCATGAGGGTTTTGGTGACGCAGCTGCACAGCTGCTAGGTTCAATGACTTCTCAATTGCCTCCATCTGAAGTTGTGTTCCACTATGAAATGATTTTCTATCTTGGTAACTATAAATAGTCATGCATGATGATTTGCTGCTTGAAATCCCAGAAGCAGCTTGGGAAAAAAACAAAAACCATACCCTAACAACTGACCCAACACACAACAAGAAAACAAGAAGCCTTCAACTATATTCTTGGTAAGGTCCTAAATGTCAAAGAGAGATGGTGAAGCTAGAGAGTATAGTGCTAATGCTTCTGAAGATGACTTTTTAACATCTTGGTTGGTCAAGAAGGTGTGCAGTGCTGCAGCAGTAGTGCCAACTGGTCTGTCCTCCATCTGGAGGAAGAAATCCACCTCAGAGTTGGTGTCACCTGGACTGCTGGTTG